TATTATTACAGTTTTCGCAGGGCTTTACAACATATGGAGAGACAGTACAATTACAATGCAATACCATACAAAGGATTAGAAGGACCATGCTTGTGATAACTTACAATCCACTAGGAGGAGCAAGTGATACATAAGGTAATAACTGTGAGGGATGAGCTCATTAAAGGAGTAGATGTACAGTTTTTAGGGAGAGGCAGGATAGGTTTTCCTGGAAGAGTTTTCAGGGATCACCTTAAAGGAGAAATATGAGGTGAGTGAAAATCACCCATCCTCATAGTTCGAGCCGACGTGTGACAATGAGACTGTCACCGGTCGGCTCAATAGATCGGGAAGTGAGCGAACACATACCTGCGCTCGCTCACTTCTCGATCCTGTCCCTGCAGAGAGCCGTGACTGTCACTCACAGCTACCTGCAGGGATTCCTCCCCGCTCCGATCCTCCAGCGCTGACTGGCAGAACGGACTGGGGAGGGGGCGGGTCAATCACACAGCTGAGTGGATCCAGACAGTAATGTCGGGATCCGTCCCGGCTGCGGCCTCTCAGTATACCGCGAGCTGTAGCTCCCTATATACTGAGCTTTGGGTGACGGGAGGACACTAGTTTGTGTCCTCCCGTTACCCTAAGGAGAACTATGGGGAAAAGCCATGAGCCCATAATTCTCCTTTAAGGCAGACAGACTAAGAGACAGCCGGATAGGTTGTGGTAGGGAGTTCCAGAGGATCGGCGAGGCAGGCGGATAGGTTGTGGTAGGGAGTTCCAAAGGATGGGAGAGGCTCTGGAGAAGTCCTGAGATGTATATAATCAGATACAGGTCAGGATATTTAGGTTTTGTACTTATCAACTGCCAGAATGAGGAAAACATGTGACCTCCATGATTGTTGGTGCCGGACAGGCTGGTTTCAATACGCCCGCTGATATCATGAACTTTGCAACGGAGCAGAGAGTTTGGGGTTTGTCTGGACAGATTGGTCTGCTAAGAAAGATGAAAAGTAGCCGACTTCCTGGTCGGATCACCAGGTGAAAATAAAGCCGTTTTTTTTTGGTTTTATTGGTCTGTTTCATCAAGGGCCCATTCACACCACATCCAGCTCCTGCATGTCTCATTTTGTCTGGTCTGGAATGCACTGGAACTACGAGCAGGTTCAGACCAGATCTGGTCCGGAAAATGGCGTGACCCCGCCCCAAAAGTTAATGGTCTGATATAATAAAGTTTTACTTTATCTTAAAGGAGAACTATGAGGGGTGGTGCTTTGCATTTATATA